AATTTGCTATTTTAATTGGTTTTAGGTGTACAACTCAATAGCATTAATTACATTCACAATGTTGTACAACCACAACCAATACCTATTTCAAAAACTTTTCATCACCCCAAACTGAAACTCTGTGTGCATTAAACAACTCCCCATCCTCCCCTCCCCAACCCTGGCGGCCTCCATTCCACCTTCTGTCTCTATGACTCTAACTGCTCCACTCACTTATATGAGCGGAATCATACAGTATTTGTCTTTTCGTGTCTGGCTAATTTTACCCAGTATAAGGTTTCCCAGGCTCGTTTGTGTTGTAGCATGTATCAGAATTCCCTTCCCTTTTGAGGCTGAATAGCGCTCCTCTGCACGGATGCACCACATTTTCTGTATCTGTTCCTCCACCGATGGATACTCAGGCAGCTTCCACCACTTGGCTCTTGTGAATAATGCTGCTGTGAACATGCGTGTGCTAATAGCTGAATTCCTGCTTTCCGTTCTTTTAGGTACATATCTAGAAATAGAATTGCTGGATCACATGTTAATAATGTTTACATTTTTGAGGACCTGCCTATTTTTCTCAGTGGCTGAATCATTTTACACTTTCACCAACATGTAAAAGGGTTTCATTTTCTCCACATCCTCGCCAACACCTGTTATTTTTGTTTTTATGTTTTGATCGTAGCCATCCTAATGGGTGTGAGGTAGTGTCTCATTTTGGTTTTGATTTGCATTCCCTTAATGACTGATGATGTTGAGCATCTTTTCTCCTGCTTGTAGGTCATTTGCATATCATCTTTTGAGAATTATCATTCAAGTCCTTTGCCCAGTTTTGAATTGGGTTGTTTGCTTTTTGTTGTTTTTGTTGAGTGTTAGGATTTCTTTCTATATTCTTGATATTAATCATTTGTCAAAGATTTCTAAATGTGAGCTAATCTCAGATAAAAGTCTAGCTCTCTCGAGGGTGGAGGGGGTGGGGAAGTACAGCACTTGACCATCAGGGCCAGGAGGTTGCTTTAGCCTGTGGAGTTGGAACAATGGCCAGCCACTGAGTGGGCCCCTCAGAAGCAAGCCATGGTCAGCAATCAAGCACACAGCCTGATTTTTGGAGGACAAGATCCTTATTTCCCACCCTGGCACCAGCAAGCTGTACCAAGAATGCAGGCCACCTTCTCCCTGCTGCCTGCTGCAGGCTGGAGGCTGGTACAGCCACTCCAGAAAATGCTAAAAATTCACTAAAATATCCCAGCCTCCTCATCAAGATCTTCCCTGCAAGCTGCAAGCATACTAAACTCCAGAGTTTCGGAATAGTTGCTTCTGATAATTCACACCAGCACAATTGTTTCAGGGGAGGGATTTCTGGAGCTTCCTACTCTGCCATGACGTCACCCCTGTTATCAATGAGTTGCTTGCTCCATTTCCTTTATGGGCTGTTCATTGCTGGTGAACAGAGACAAACTGGTTTTTCTGTGTTGGTCTTGTAACCTGCAACTTTGCTGAGTTCATTCATTTACTCTAGTAACTTTCTTGTGGATTCTTTGAGATTTTCTATATATAGGATTGTGTCATCTGTGAATAGTTTTACTACCTCTTTTTCAATCTGGATGTTTTACTTCTTTTTTTCTTTTTCTTGCCTAATGACCCTGGCTAGATCTTCTAGTGCAATGCTGAACAGTAGTGGTGAACGTGGGCTTCACTGTTTTGCTACTGATCTTAGAGGGAGAGCTTGTAGGCTAACAGGTTTTGACTGAGGCCTGTCATGTGCCAGGCTCTGGGGGGACAAATGCCCCTGCTGGATGGGAGTGAGACAGTAAGCAACATAAGTGAGGAAGGGTCAAGAGGCCAGAGGGTAGAACGTGTCACTGAGAAAATGAAACAGGGAACAGCAATGAGGGACGTACGGCAGGCGGGGCACTGCGTTTTACCTTGTTTAGGGGAGGCCCCCCTGTGGAGCTGACATCTAAGTGAGCTCCTGTGGGGCATGAGGGAGGGAGTCCCAGGAAAATCCGGAAGAGCATTCCCTGTGGAGGCCACAGCAGCGCTGAGATACTGAGTGGGAGTGAAGCAGGCCTGGCCTGGCCAGGGCTGCAGGAATGGATGGAGCCAGTGAAGGTGAGAGCTGTTTGCTGCACTCTCCTAAATGCTCAGAGAGCAGGCGCCTCCGTCTCATGGTCCTCTGTGCCCCAGCCCGGCACAGTGCCTGACACACGGTAGGTGCTCCATAAATATTAGTGAAATGACTGTGGGTCCCTGCGTGGCCTGATGCGGGCTGCATGTGTGGACGGCCCACTCTGCCCACGAGGCCACCAGGTCAGGCTTCGGATGTCCCAAGATCAAGGTTAGATTACTGAAGACCATGTTTCTCCACACTGCCAAATTAAACTCCTGCCTCCAGACCTTCACATCCCTCATAGCCAGAACTGGCAGGGGAACGGCCTGGTCATCTGGGTTTAACAACCTCTCTAGATCCCATGCCCTTCCTGAATGCTCCCATTGTGGGGGACGTGGACTTGAGAAGCAGCAGCAGGAGCCTGCAGGGCATCCTGATTTGATGCGTGTGAGCACGGCTCCTTCAGCAGGGCCAAGCCTCTCCCAACCCGCTCCTCCTGGAGTCTTGTACCTGGAGCCTGGTGTCTTGGGAAATATATTTGGCTGCTCAAGGAACAAACTCCCCATAGTGAGGCATGGGCAGGGTTCTGGCCCAGAGGGACCAGCTGCAGGCCCCTCTCCTGGAACTGGCCCCTCACTGGGCTGGGTGCTGAGAGTACAGGGCCAGAGCTCTGGGCACTCCTGCAGCCCCCACCCCTGCCCACCCTGACGGGGAGGCCTGTGGTCCACTCTGGCTTTCCCTGACTCTTCAGCCTGGCCAGGGTTTCCATCGGGTGCCCTCTATCCTCTGCTTCAGGGGCGAGGCCTTGCTCAAGGTCTCAAGGGAGGCTGTGGCCAAACCAGCCCCTCTGCTGGCTTTTATCACAGAAGTCATAAAGCTAGACACTGAGCAGTCTCCCTCTTAAATCCTTCCCGTCATCTGGGCAGAGGCCAATAGTCCTCCTGGGCCACAGGCCCTACCCAGTTGGCCCATGTTGGCCTCCTATCTCTCCCTTGCCCTCTCCCACCTTAGGGCCTTTGGGCCTGGCTGGCCACCTATAATGCCCTTTCCCCACTTGCCCTCCAGGCCCCTGCCCTGGGCCCTCTGGCTAAGGCTGGGGTCCTATCTGTACTTGGCTCAGCATCCCCAAACCTCTCACTCCAGGTGGCTCAGTGTCATTCTGCCCTACGTTTGCCCCAGCTCCTGCAGCTGACCCCAGGACACGGAGCTCAGCAGTCTTCCAGACTGGACCCCCTGGCCAGGTCCCCTGCACACGTTGCCCATGCCAAACCCCCTGACCCACCCAAATCTGAGACCCCCGACCCTGGGTGCCAATCCTGGCTCTGCCTGTCTGGCATGGTTTTCTCACAAATGCACAGGCCCTCAATCAATCTCGAGGGACTACCAATGCCACAGGGTCACAGGGTACCCCAGGTAGGCATTCCCCCTCATACCAATAAACAAATCAATATAGTTTACATGTCCTTCAACTGTCTTGTGGGAGCATAATTATCTGCATTGTTTTATGGGCATACTGAGAGTTAATTTGTTATCTATAAACATTTTAAAGCCATTTTTCTAACCCTATTCCAGCCTTTTTTCATTTTAAAATTTACTTTGAAGCACAAAAAGAGAACGAGAGAGCACGTGCATGCATAAGTGTAATGGTGGAGGTCACTGTTTATAGCAGCACACTTTCTGAAACAAGCTAATCACCCATATGAACAGGGAATTGGTTAATAAATTATGATAGCGCCATACTGAAAGATTACTTTTCTGCTGAAAAGCACAAAAAGTATAAGGGAATTCTTGATGTATTGATAAGGAACAGTCTCCACAATGTATGGGTTAATTTTAAAAATTAAGGTGCAGACAGGGTTTTCATTGTGTGGTCTCTGTGTAAGAAAAGAACAAGCCCCATCTACACACATTTGCCTGTATGTGCACTGAGCTGGTAGCCTAGAAGAGACAGGTGACACTGGCTACCTCTAAGGAGAGGGCACTGGGTGCCTTTGACAGGGTGGGAGGGGCTTTTCACAATGAGGGGCTTTTACACACTTTTGAATTTTGAACCACGAAATACTATGGCTGGTCAAAACCAAATTAAATTCCAACAGAAAAGCTGAAGGGCCCCAGGTGGGCCTGGGCAGCCTCCCTCAGCACCACCCTGTGTGAGATCCTGGCAAATGCATGCAATTCCCCAGGGCAGGCAAGTTCCATCCAGGGAATAGTGCCAGCTGACCACCTCGTTGGAGCCCAACCTGGCATTTGTGGTCTGAGGGGTGCTGAGAGAAGCTCACCTTCACGGTGACACCTTCCTCATGGTCTGTTGTGGGTTGAATTGTGTCATCCCAATTCATATGTTGAAGTCCCAACCCCCACTGTCTCAGAATGTGACCTTGTTTGGAAATAAGGCCTTTGCAGCTGTAATTCACTAAGCTGAGGCCATTCTGGAGTGGGGTGGGCCTCCAATCCAATGTGATGGGGTCCCTGTAAAATGGGGAAATTTGGACACAGACACACACAGGCAGAATACCACCTGGGCAGGAAGGCTGAGATGGGAGTGATGCTTCTACAAGCCAAAGAGCACCAAGGATTGCCTGCAAAGCAGCGGAAGCTGGGAGAGAGGCCTGGAAGGGGTTCTCGCTCAGAGCCCTCGCAGGGACCTGGCCTTGTGGGTACTTGATCTCAGGCATCCAGCCCCCAGACCTTGAGAAAACAAATGTCTGTGGCTTCAGCCCCCCAGTTTGTGGTGGTGCTTTGTTACAGCAGCTGCAGGGAACCCACATGCATTGTCTCAAGGGAAATGGGCAGATCTATGACTCCTGCCTAGTGCTTGGTTTAGAGCCACCTTAACCCTTGAGGGAGCTGGAAAGGTTCCGAGGCTACCCCTGACCTCTGAGAGTGCCCACCCTGGCCCAGTACTTACTGTCATTGGTCATGTTCTTGGAGACTATATTGGACAGTGTCTCAGACATCTTGGCTAAGGCCCAAGAGGTTGATGCAAGGCTTCTCCTCTTCTAAAGGAGATCCTCACCTGGGGAGTGACACAGTGCTTAAGTCTGGTGGTCCCTAAGCCCAGAGCTCCCTTCCCCTGGGTGGCTGAGAGCCACCGGCATTTGTTGAGGGCTCGCCACATGGGGACACCTGCCTGTTCCCTGCCTCTCCCACCCGAGGGTCCACTCTTCTCTCCTGGACCTGGCTCTAGCTGCCTACTTTTTCTGTGCTTAGAACACATCAGTCTTGGCCTCGAGGGTTTGCATTTTCAGCCTCCTCAGCCAAGAGAATATTCTCCCATACCCAGATGGGGGTGGTGGGCTCCCCTCTCTTCAATTCCGAGCTCAAATGTCACCTCTTTAGAGAGACCTCTCACCATCCCATCCAAAGTGGTTTCTTCCTCCCCACCCCGGTGTGGCCTTTATTTTCTTCTGTGCAATTCCCACTATCTGATTATCACTTGAAAAATCTGTTCATTGTCTACTTCCCCCTAAAATGTGAGCTCCATGAGAACAGGGGGTCTTTTCCTCTCATCCAAGCTCCTGATATACCCTTGGCACGCCTTAACTTCATCCGTTGAATGAATTTTCATTTTTGCAGGGGAGGAAGCAGAGATTCAGCGAGGTGTCCAAAGTCACAGTCAGGAGGGGCTGCCTCTGGAAGGGGCCCAGGGCTCTAGGCTTGTGCCATTCCCGCCGCATTCCTGCTACATCCCCCTATTGGGTGAGCCTGGGGTTCGCAGGGTCTCCTCCTGACACCTGGCGCTCTGCCAGGCCCTGGGCCACACAGCAAGGTGCACAGGGATGGTAGGACAGATGGGATGGATGGTAGGACAGATGGGGTGGATGGTAGATGGTTGTGTTTCAAGCAAGTGTCATGCGAGCAGAGGGTGGGGAGCCTTGCAAGGCGCCTTGCCAGGGGCGCGTGAGAGGTCCGCTCCCGGCCACGCGCGCCCCTCGGGCCCTGGTTTCGCACCTCTGCCACCGCCCCCACGCGCCCTCACGGACCCCGCGCGCCCTCTCTACCCCGGCCCCGCGCGCACCCACCGGCCCCAGACTGCCCAGGCTCACTCCGAAGCCTCCGCGCTGCAGTTCTCAGCTCCAGGAGCAGGGCTCTTGGGTTTACGTCTCCAAGGCAACCATTCTTCAGGCTGGTTGTGACGCCACAAAGGCCGCGGAGGCTGGGAGCGTGAGGGCTGGGCCTGCGGGCCGCTGGACAGGCAGGGCGCGGGGCACAGCTGCCGGGTCCGAGCTCCTGGCACGATGTCCTCCCTGACGCCGCCAGGACAGCGCCTGGCCCAAGCCCGGGGCCTGGTGAACGCGGGTTTCTTCCTCTGAGGTTCATTCATCACTCCGCACTTGGGCCGGGTCCTTTCTTTCATCTTGATTGATTTATTCACCACGTGCCAAGTGCTGAAGGGGATGGATGCTTTTGGAACAAAAATAGCCCTGGTTCTTTCCTGGGGAGGGATTGCACTTTCTCGAGGGGCATAAAAAAACTCGTTAGAAAAGCAAGTTTTCAGTCCTCACCCCAGAATCAGAAACTCGGGTTGGAGCCCAGCAATCTGTGTCCTGACAAGTCCACGCGAGACCCCAGTGCTGGCTAGGGTTGGAAAGCCACTGCTCTACCGAGCGAGCGAGACCCATCATAGTGGGACAAGCGAGAGGATGAGGCCATGCAGACCAGGGCAAGTTTTGGGCGTCCAGGTCCACCAGCTGCTTGCAGCCAGGGGCACCTGGGTGTCTGGTCCCTCCACTCAGGGATCCTGCCTCCCCACAAAAAGCAACAGCAGGAGACCCCTCTTTGAGTTCTGAACATATTCCTAGATTTTCCCAGTATCTATGGGGATTGAGAGATTGACAAAGGCTACTTGGAGCTGAGAACACAGTCAGGGACTCATCTTTTTGGGGACATTTAGGGGTTTCTGGAGGGACTCTGGAGCAGTCTGCAGCCCAGCAATGTAGTCCTGGTGAGGATCCCAGCTGTGCCAGGCTCTGCCTAAGGCCGGTATAGTGGGTGGGAAGACCACATCCACAACAGGAACTCCACTGGAGCTAGGGGTGGGAGTGAGGAGGAGCTAGCAAGATGGAAGGAGCAGGGATCCCTGAATCTTCGCTGGTAGAATAGTGTCCCAACTTGCAATATCCACAGTGGGCTTTGCATAAGGAAGGAAGAACGTGGTATTGTGTTAAGCCACATAAGTGGTTAAGTGATTTGTGCATGTGCACATATGTGCACGTGTAGTGTGTGTGTGTGCATGTGTGCACGTGTGTGTTTGTTACAGCTGCTAGTGTCAAATATGCTGAAGGACAAGTAGTCCCTTTACCCTTAGGAGAGAGGCTCCTTACACTGACATTCAAAGACCTCAATGACCCGGCCCCAGCCTCACGCTGCAGCCTTATCTCCCTACAAACCATCAAAGCAGAACAAAAAGCTGTGCCTCCGATTTAGGTTTCAGCAGACCACAAGAAGCACTTCATGAACTGGTGACTCAAGTAGAAAAGTGTTTTTGAAATGGTTTATCGAAACACAAGGTGTTCTAATGAGGCTTTTAGGAAGCTAGAACATAAGTGACCCAAAGAGAACAAAGGTACCCAGGCTCCTGCCCATTCATTGTGATCAACAGATCAGTTTATGAAATGTCGTGAATCTCCCCATGAACCCTACAGAGTGTTTTCTATGTGCCAGTTGCTGTTCCACACGCTTGACACCAATCCACCCATTTCATCCGTATGGTCACCCTACCTTTGCATGAGTTGCCGTGTGGACAGAGCAGGGACACAGTGAGGCAGTGGATTGCAGCTCTGCTCTTACCTAGAACACACTGCCTCTCGCCAGGAATCGTCCTACCATTTTATGCAGTTATCCCAGACAGTGATGCACAAGCTTTGGGGAAAAAAAAAACCCCACAAGTCCAAAAGTGTACTTCATAATAAAGGCAAGTTCTCTAGTCAGTTTGTGTGTTCTGGCCTTTGTTTTTGCTCTTGGTAGCTTACAAGGTTAGAAAGAAAACCACCTAGAAAACGTGACCTGATTTGGAACTTTTAGTCTTAGCCTAACAGATCTAACTAGAAATACCATTTGCTGATTGAAAGCTAATTTATAAAATCAGGTGGGTGATTGGTGGAGCGATGGTGGCTGGCTGGCTGTGTGGTGAATTGTAGTGGCCTGTGAGCTGGCCAGCCCAGGCAGCGGGCATGTGGGTGTCTGCTTCAAAAGTCTTCCAACATTTCTGTATGTTTGAAGCTTGAAAATGTTCATAATGAAACACTTTGGGACAGCTAACAGTCTTCTTAAAGGAGAAATTTGTATTTCTGATTTCATATTTTCCTCCTCAAACAAGGTATATCAGTCTGGGCCCTTGGGAATAAACAACAGAAAGCAACTATAGCCAGTTAAAGGAGAAAAGGACATGGGGGTGCCCCCAGACTCCGTAGGACAACAGGGAATCAGGCTGAGAGATGTTGTAGCCTGGAGCGGAGCCCAAAGCCATGGCAGGCGTGTTCCGGCAGAGACCATGCTGTGATCTGAAGTCGGCTTTGTACTCCTGACTGGTAGGCAGCACCTGGATCACCTGCTTGCACCTTGGGCCTTCCACACAAGATCTCTGGCTTCTGCCGTTGGAGGAGGGACTCAGAAACCAGGGGGATCAAGGGTTGTCCTGTACCCAGACAGGGTATTCAGAGGTTTACCAGAATGACAAAGCCTGAGAGAGCAGCTGGTGTTCCTTTCCTGCAGCACCTGGTCTCACTGTTGTTCTGCAGCACAGCAGGCCAGGGAGAATTGGAGGGTCACCTTCAAGGTAAAATGCCTTAGATGCCCAGATCTCTCACTTGTGGGTTTTCCTTTTGCTGAGAGGTGGTAGGATATGGAGAATGACAGCCATATCTACCGTGCTTCATGGTGAGTCAAGGGCTTTCCACAGGGAGGACAGTGATATGAGCTCTTTGCACTACTTACACTGCCCTAGGATCCCCTGCATGGGTTGTGACCAGCAGGACTTTGTCTACCATGTTTCAGGTGAAAGCTGCAAAGTACTTAAAGAGTGTCTGAAGCCCCATCCCCCCTCCCTCTCTGGGCATGTGTCCCCACCCAGTGCCAGGTGCTGTAGCTTGGCATGCTTTTTATATTTTGTGAGCAATCACATTAATCAGATTGCTTTCCTGCCAGCTCAGATGGACAGATAATTTGATTGGAGTCTGGAAAAAAACAGGGATGACTTTTGGCATCCACATCCCAGGCATATCACATTTGACCACAGTGTCAGAGAAACAGTGCTAGTGGAATTAAAAAAAAAAAAAAGTCTTGGAGCCCAGAGTAAGACTAGGCTCATATGTGGTCACAAGAGACCACATATCCTATGGAGGCGCCTAGATGGAATTGGGGAAATAGACAAATGGGCAGTGGTGGCTAATGGAGATGGGATTTTGCTCTTTAGGGTGATGAAAATGTTCTGAAATAAGACTATGATGAACATTAGATTTACTCTGAATATAGTAAATGCACTTTAAATGGGTGAAGTTTAGACATGTAAATTATATCTCAATAAATATGTTCAAAAGGAGAAGAAGAAAGGGGTCCACATTGCCAAGTGTTCTTGAGTGGCCAAGCAAGAGGGACTGAAGAGTGTTCATTGGATTTGCCAACAAATCGGTTGACCTTGGTGTGAGCAGTTTCGGTATCTTCTGGGGGACTGAGATAGATGGGTGATGAGGAAGAGGAGAAAGTGCCCTGGACAGCACTTTCAAGGGTCCTGGCAGTGGCTCCATCTTGCTCTCTTATGGGTGTGCAGACCCACAGTGGGACTGGGGAAATGACCCTGGTCTTCCCTACAGCTCTGGTGGAGGCTAGGTCATTAAAGCCAGACCCCCAGTTCAGAGGGCAGGATGCTGGGGCATGCAGCATGGGGGGTGAGAAAGGTGCATGGCACTGGCCTGGGTCCCAGATGTGCTCCTGGGCATGGTCTCCACAGGCGGCAGGGGAGGGGGGTGCAGGTCCCAGGTGGTTAGGGGACTGTGGTCAACCGGGAAGAGGGGCTGAGACTAGACCAGGTTGTGGGCACAGAGGAAATGAAAGAGACACACACAGAGAGGGAGAGGGTGTATGGAGGCAGAAGGCAAGCTGGAGGGACCATGGTGCTGAGGAGGCTGGGTTGGGATCCAGACACAGGAGGAAGGGCAGGAGATGTGAGCATTAGGCGTGCTCCCCAGGAGGGTGTGATTTAGCCCAGGAGCCCAGGGAAGGTCATCTTTACACTAGTTTCAGACATCATTTAGGTTGTATTTTGCTTCAAGAAACAGAAAGCTTCACCAGAAATGACTTACAAGGAAATTTCTCATGAGAAGCTCTCCTCATATCAGTACACCTCTCCTCATATCTTAGCCAAAAAACTGCATGTCTAAACCAATCGCTGCCAGGGGTGGAAGCTGGGGACTCTGTGGGAGGCCCCATCCCGGGGCCATAGGGTGGGTGCCTGGACTGCATCCATTGTGTTAGGAAGGGGATGGGGTGATCTGAATGGATTCTGGCTTGGTCAGAGCACCCACTCCATGACATCCCCACCCGGGTGTCTGCAAGCCCTGAGGCAGGCAGCTCGCTCTGGGTTCCCCCCTCATCTAGCCCAGGAGCGCCGCTCTTCCGCGGATGCCTGGGGAAACCCCATATGAGCACATACACCGAAAACTATATCTGCGAGGCGGGATTGTGGCTGATTATTTTTTTCCTACTGCTTGCTCTCATTTTTCTTTACGATGAAGTCGTAGACATGTATTACTTCTATAATAACAAAACAGTGAAAAGTAGAAGAAATTGCTGGGGGCACCGTGACTCCCGGGTGATGCCCGCGCTCTGTGGCGCTGCTGATGAGGACTTTCGGGTCTGGCCTCTCCTCCCGGGGCTCCTCGGTGCCCTCCGCCTGGAGCCCACTTAGTTTCCAGGCCTTTCCCTCTGCCAAGCCCCTGCCAAGGGCCTGGACCCTGTCCTCCTCCCATCTCTTCCCCAGTTAGTCTTTCCGTCTCAGCCCCAACCCCACCACCCCTGCGCCCAAGTGTGGGCTGATATGTCCTCTTTGTGCCCCCAGAGCCATGGTCACTTCACGAGGACCTCTGCTGGTGTCTCCTCTGCTGTCTTGGAAGTCCCAGAGGGCAGGATCTGTGTCCTGTGACACACTGACCGCAACCCGGAGCACCCGGAAGGTGTTCATTAGATAGTTTGTCAAATGAGTCAATGGACAGTGGATGGGGAATGGAGTGGAGAGTGGACGGGAGGATAAGTTGTTTCCATGAAAGGATGAAATTCCTGTGGAGGGAGTGGACAGCGCATGTCTGTCTGAG